GCTACCATACATCAACGGGAAGTGTGGAGGGCGTACTGTAGATGTCATATGAACCTCCCCTCTGTTCGTAGGCCCCGAGCCGGCCCCTAGCTCAGCCAACGTATCTTGTAAACGGTGCGGTCTCTCACGATCGCTCCAAATCCATCTCCAGCAGGGGGGAACATTAGAATAGACCAGAGGGTCTGAAGATATATAAAGCCAGCCCTCCTCCCACTTTGCTTCCATCCCTCGATCTTCCCTTTTCTCCTCGTAAAGTACCGCAGATTTCTCTATGGCGTCTATGATTCAACACTGAGCCCAAAACAAACCAATGGCACCTGACGTCCAGACCGATAGCTCCGATGCACGCCAAATTCTACCCAAGAAGAAGCCAAAGTGGTCCTCAGAAGAAGATGTCCGCATCATCGAGCTTCGGGGGCGCGGAATGACGTGGGAAGATATCAGCGAGAAACTTCCCGGGCGAAGTGCAATGAGCTGTCGCCTGCACTACCAGAATTACCTCGAGAGGCGGGGTGAGTGGAGCGAGGATCTCAAGACCAAGCTAGCATTGTTATATGAAAGGTAAAAATGGTGTGATATCTGATGATAACCGGCTAGCTTACTGACAGAGCAAGCAGATTCAAGTCGGAAATGTGGGCGAAAATTGAAGAGGAGATGGCCATGCCCTGGAGGGCCGCTGAGGCTATGCATTGGCAGCTCGGAGAACAAGAAATGGCGAGACGAGCTGGAACAGTTCCGTTCTCATTCTCGCAGCCCACATCAGAACCTCTCCAAGCATCACGCACAGTTTCCGTTCGGCTCCCTTCTATTGCAGAGTTCGAAGCCGGAGTCCTAGCATATAGAAGTGATCCACCAAATTCCACAGAATTGAACTGCAGCCACGCAGGTACTCTCCCAACGACGGGTCCTTCAGCGGCGAATTAAACATGGATGGCGTGATTATCACCGCAGTGGCTTAATACCAATAATAGCCATACCACTGGGGGTTCGATACCGCAGCGCTCGATGTATGTCTCTGGACAGGTGTCCAAGGCTAATCAGACGATGGTTATAGTTCCGGGGTATGTTGATGGGCTGTATTTATTCTTGGGCCCCCCACTGTGGGAGACCGGTTTGTATGGATCTCCCCGGCGTCCATGTTCGTGGTAATTGTATCTGATGATGATGCTGCCTGTTATAGTGCTGAATCTTGATTAGTTGTATTCTGGTGCAGGGCCTGCCTTGTTTGATTTTCTGTCTTGTGTTCCTCTTGGAAAGTTTAATAATATGAAAGTTGGCTAAAACTTGCAAACATCTTTAGCCTATTGGCAGATGCCACAGAAACCACTGTAGCGAGAGTAGAAAAAGAGGCTAACATAGGACCCTGGGGGAGGACGGGCAGCTTTATGGAAGATCGGGGGGCGTGAGGGAGGGTGAATGGGGAGCGCAAAATGGAGCAGCAAACTTATACTGAAGTATGTTAACCAACACAAAATGATACTGGACCGAGACACCGTTCAAGAAGAGAACCACGAGAACCGTGGGAAAGCGGCAACGACGTTATTGAAGCATGGGAGATGAAAGTATACGGCAACCAGAGATGGATTACTCAAGGTAGGTGCAGAGTCTAACTTAGTTCCAAGGTCAACGGCGAAAGTGATTAACCCACTTTCCCTCATCAAACCGTCTGCCACCATATCAAATATTTTCTTCCCCATATAATCCCAGAGCACCATAGGCGGGGAATAAGGAAACTGTGCGCAAAGAGGATGGCTGTATGCGACAGTTCGACATCAACCCAACCGTGATGGCTTGCTAGTCACTTTAGTTGCCTGTAGCGGGCAATCGGTGGGTCCACAGCGGCTATTTCGGGCAACCCAGGGTGGTTTCATTTCTGGAACCCTGAACTTTTTGCCTTTGGGACTTTTGAATTTCTTCATTTCTTCATTTCTACATTTTTAGTCTTTTTACCCCCTTTTTTAGCAGTCGCTCCTTTTTCCCGTCAATATTGTCTTCATGATGTTTTTTATATTTCCGTAGCTGCATATTGTTAGAGAACCTTTCAGATGCTTCCATGCCAGAGGTAGCTAATTCAAGACACAGCTCCTTTTTCTTTAGTAGCATAACATGGTAAATAGAGGTTAATGGCAAAGGTAATTAATACAAAATTGGCCCTGTCTGAATCGGTCTCAATATGCATCCAGAGTGGATCAGAGAATTTCCTAGAGTCTACTGTACAGGTACTGTAAAAATCCTCACAACTTTTGAATGACCAGGATGACCGCATGTAAAAATAAAATGACCCCTATACTATTGAGGCTTGTAGGGTGACCAGGCCACGCTTTCGATCGCGGGGCCAAAAAGCGGGATGCTCGTTGGAAATATCCAAGGAGGCCCTGCGCCAAGAGGGCGAATGCCAAAGTTTCGTCATAGGGGCTTTCGGGCTGCGGTTTATATTTTTTCCATTTGTGTTGGGGACCTCACACAGTGCCAGCATCCTTCGCTAGAGTTCCACAAGTTTCTTTGGCTGTGTACTGTAAACGCCCTCCTCTCTCTCTGTGCTCTGTGATCTCGTCTGTTCTGCCACCTTGTAGTCCTCTGCCCAACTATAGTACTTTGTGGATTTTCACTTTCTGTAATTTGGGTGGCCGTCCAGTTCTTTTTATTTCTTGCGAAGGGCCTTTTGTGTTTCCGTACAGCATGGGTATTCTGCTGATCACATTTCAGGTGGGTCGACAATTTTTCATGGCAGGTCACATCACTTATGTGCATTGTATAGGATAGAGAAAATGTGGAGAAATCCGACATGGTAGCAACACATCCAGAAGTGAGTCACCAACCTCTGACACGGTAGACATGACTGACGAACAGGTCATCTCACGCGTACGCGATGTGCTACGGCTTCTTGAGCAACTCGGAACGGCAGGGGGCTGCAGAGCTTCTGGACAGAGTAAAAGCCAGCGAACCAAATCCTCCCTCGTTTGTATTTCAGAGCCACGATGGTTCGGGTTCTCGATCAAACGCCCGCTTTGATCAAGAGTTGCCAGTGCAACTGCCTTTGGCAACAAGCCTCGATGACTATCTTCCCTTGTTCGTCGCCTCGTTGAATGAACCGCCTGTTGACACGATTGATCCTGTTTTAATGAGCATACCGGAAGGGGTTTGGGATGCCACGGTACCCGGGGATGCTCCACAGTCAAAAAATATGTCTGTACCAGAAGCCGAAAGTACCTTATTTGTATCCCCCGCCAATACTACTGCCGCGGGGCCAGAGGGGCCCTGTGGAGAACAAGCACCTCCAGATGGAGATACTGACCTTCCCCCAATTCCACTGGAAGTTTCTTCAAATGAAATCTACAACCAATGGACAGCAGTGAACTAGTCAGGCCGGGCTCGACTTGGCTGAGATCTACATAGTCCGGAGAGCATCAAGGAACATTCAAATCTATGGGCAGGGCCAGCTTGTTCCTTGGGAATGAAATTGTACGACAAGGAAAGATCATTGTCTTTGGGAACCTAAACATGATTAAATATTGAAATGGATTGTTTACATGACCCGTAATATCCATCTCTCTTGTGGGGTTCTAGTAAGGCTAAGCAGAGTACTGGTAACCAAACGAAATGAACTGGTTTAAACCGGAAGGCATATGAGAATATTCATGGCCTGGTCATGCCAGATGTCATCCCTGGGGGAAAACAATCCCCTATGGCCGTCAATCGAGTCGTCAATGAAGTACGAAGCGAACTGTGGTTGGTTGACCTCCCTATTAGGATATGCATGGTGACGTCCCATCTAGCCACGTCTTGGCGCCCTTGGTGGTCCGGACCAGAAGGACGCCAAGGCGTGACCAGGACAGAGATGATTGGTGTGTTTTTTCAGTGACCTCAATAGTTGATGATTGGTTGGTGAATTCATTTGCTCTGGAACAGAAGAACATCAAAAACATCTTCTTTTTTCATTTTTATTATCATATCTTCATCTGACTTAGAAAGCTGCTTCTATGACAGAACTGTTAGAATCTTCTTGTGAGAAAATATTCATCTTTTTACATTGGATTGATTGCCTGGCGACATTGGATTGCTGGGAGCTATACTTGAAAAAAGTGCTATGTCAATGGACTCAAGCCTGTAAGCTTAATGAGAAGAGTTTCTCAAAAGTGATATAGTCTTGTTGTAGTGTAAGAGATATACTATCTAACTCATGACACAATTTTTCATAAGAAATCAGACACAAGATAAGATACAATCTATGCTGATAAGTATATGAGTAGAGACTTGAAGATCATGTTCTGATTCAACTGTATCAAGAAGAATGATTCAGAAGAATCCTCTTAGGTCTGTCATGGCCTTGTGTAAGTTGTCTCAAGACAAAAATCAGTCGCAAGACGTGCGACCTGTTCATGTTGTCATGTGATTGATTATCCCCTGTCTCCCCTGCAGTTGACAAGTTGCCTGTATGACATTGACGGGGTAAATGAAAGCCAGTAGTTATAAATTTATTTCACAGCTCTTCTCTTGTTAATCTGCATCCAATCCAGATCTCCTTGATCGCTCCGGCTGACGGCCGTCTCAGCAGTAGAAAGGCAGAATGCTTTTGCATGCCATGATTCGCGTTCGACATCGCTGAGGTCAAAGTATGTTCTTCATAGATATAATGAAGAAGAAATAGTAAAGTGAAACGAAGTGGGGAAACCAAACATAGAAAACGAAAGAGGAGAATGAAGAAAATGAAGAGAATGAAGACTTCAATTGTTGCATAAATTTAAGCATCTAACTAACTAGAAATAGAAAGGTTTCGTGAGATTGGGCCATCTTGAATCAATGCTGACATAATCCACGTGACCTCGTTCGACGACATTCGTTATTCCAGTAGGCTGCCAGCAGCCCCAACCCTCCATGCTCCTGCAAATCGTCCAATGTCATCTTGGCATACACCTTGTAACCCCCGGGAACCCTCTCTATATTTCGTTGAAGGGATGGAATGGCGACAAACGGATCGGAGTCGCTAAGCAGGTTGGGACTCATTGGCCCATCGATGATGATTGGGTCTTCTGCGAGAGTGAGTGAGGATGTTTTTCACAGAGCAGGTACTGAGCCTTACCAGCAGAACCCAAGCACTTCCACGGCTTTCCTTGTGTGCCATATCCGCGTGTTTCTTCATCTATCCGCCCTACTATCTGGTACATCTCGTCCCCGTCTCGCTTATACACCAGCTTCAGAATCTTCACCTGAGAAAGGGGCAAGATAATGCATTCCTGATTATGCAGCGTCTCCCCCAACGCATCGCCTTCCCAACGGTCGGACACCAGGGGGATAACTTGCTCTGATCGGTCGGCTTGGACGTGGCGTTCCTCGCCCAGGCGTGGGTCAGCCTCGATGGAACCATCGGAGTAATTCAACGGCGCCTTCGATGTGTTGCCTTCACGATCTTTCTGGGGCCAGGGAAGGGGTTGGCTCTCGTTGATTGGGTGGGTCATCAGCAACGTCGTTCAGGCTTGGGCCCTCGATGGGGTCGTCAGAGAAATCCGACAGTTGGAGTGACGGTGGGGGAACATCGACTGGGGGGGGGTCGAAACAGGATCCATTCGTCCCAGTTAATCTCATCGAGACCAGAGACGGTGGATGGCAGGGCAGAAAAATCAGCAAATACCTCACTTGCTGCATCCTTAGAGAGGTCGCCAGACGCAGAGAAGAGGGGCACGAGCATGGGCATGGGCATTGGAAGGAGGTGCTGGGGCTTTTCGTCTGACCAAGGATCAGGGGTGTACGCTTCCAGGAGGTGCACTGTGTTTAGCTGAGGTGAGGGAGAACCGTCGGCAGGTCCAGGGGAGGTGATATCGTACGTGAAGGTAGCCATGTTGCGAGATGAGATGATGGAATGCTCTTCTCCCCTCAATCTCGTTCCGGGAGGCACTTGACGTCTTTATATATCCCACGTTCAACCCCAGCCTGCGAACAAATATAGGTCAAGTCTAATCAAGGAGGGTGGGAAAAATAGTAGCTGAGATGCATGTTGCGTGGATCGCCAATCATCCACACCGAAGAAGCCGCTGAACCGGGAAATGTTGCATTGAGGGGGTGGACCAATGCAGAAGTGCTCCTGGCCACCACCCCCCATGCCAACATGGGCTTTCGTCCAGCGAATATCAGCCAGTCAACCTATTCAGCCCCCCTTTTCCCTCTGGCTCGAATCGACAAGCCGCTAAACCCGGGGACAAGGAGCATGGGGGTGGCATGCACGAGGACGGATGAACGTAACCCAACCATGTGTGCCAGTCAAGAAGTGCGCCTGTTGGTGTTTTCGCTTAGAGTCGAGACATCCATGGAGCACAGAGGCGAAGCCATGAAGCAATATCCGAG